TCACAGAACGCCACGGAAGCTTTGAATTTCCTTCCTACAGGTGTGTGAAACCCAAGACGGGATTCCTTCCTTGCTCCAAGAAGAAAACAGGTTTTGGAGTGACTCGTATTGAGGTGTGCTTGGTCTGTGGTGTTCTTTTATGCAAGTTTACGGTGCAATGAAGCATTCTGGTTGATGGATGAGCTGCTTTCCATATCCAGTTTCATTCCTGTTCAAATGCCTCCTTGCTTGGGTAAGATGTTACAAACCATGAATCAAAATCCTGACTATTGCTTGATTACTTCATCCTCCACACCACTTGCTCCACTTGGTTTCCATTTCACTTTAATCTGGAACTTTCACTTTAATCTAGAACATTCTTTGAGACAGCTCTAACATCATTCTGTGTTTGGAGCCTTTGTGGAGGATATGCTGCCCCTTCACAAAGTATCCCTGCTCCCTAACACCAACACATCACTTGTTCCCTAATTGCTTAACTTTGCTTCCTCTTAGTGTTTCCCAGAACATCAAATGAGGGCTTGAAGTACTCAAAAACCTAGTGTTGCAATGAAAAAGAACTGATTAAAATTCATAATTACAAAATAAATAAATAAATAAATAAAAACCAAGGAGACTTAGCATGGTGCTTCCATAAAGACAATAAGCCAAGCTCTTGTCATAGTGAAATGTGGAATAGCTCTACTGAAATAAATCTTAATTAAGCTAGAGTCACTACTCAGTGTGACTTAATTAAGAGCAGAACAGTGAGAGCCTTTTGGGAAAAAAGGGAATACTGATTATACAATTATTTTACTTCATATTTCTTCTTCCCCCCCAGACTTTCCATCTCGCTGCAGAAAAATTCAAACCTAAAGTTGCTTAAGTTAGCTCAGCAAGATATTAGCATGGCAAGTTTCATCCATCCTGCTTAGGAATCTTCTGAAATAAAAAGCTGAGAATGACAGTTTAGAAGACAATCTCTTTAAATTATACATGCAGGGTGCCATGCATTTGTACCTATCCTGATCATAAAAATATGTCGCTTTGTTAGGCAATAAATTTATGAAACTTCAAGTACTGAACTACAGAGGTGAAGCCCTAATTCTTACAAAGAAGACAGAGGCGTAAATTAGTTACAGTTAGAACTACTTGCATGGAAAAGTGTAATGGAAAAAATTACACAGGACACCTCCACTTCAGCTTCCTGAACACAGCATGCAACAATGGCTGTATAGTACAGGCAGATATATTCAACAAGCATATCAACAATGAAGACGTCCATTTGTTGTGGTTTCATTTCTTACTGGCTAAAAAGCATGCAGAGCCAAATATATTGTGGCAATAAATCTGTTGACTTCAACAGATTGGGGGAATGAAATCAAACCCAGTAGGAAAATGCACGCAGGGTCCTTACCAGCTTATGTAGGCTATGTCTAGAAACAGACGTTAATGGAATATGTGCAATACCCCAGGGACCTACTGTAAATGGTAAGAAGGTTATAATGAAGATCCAATACCTAGCTTGGATCAGAGTGTCATCCTGCTTGGGTATGTGCACTACGTCCTGTCTTCACTGTTGCTTATGCAGCTCCAGTTCAGCTGAACAGGTGCTGTGTGGGTGCAGAAGAGGGTAGAAAATATTCAAAAGCTTTGCAAGAAGAATAAAAATAATGGGAAGACATTAATAAGTATGGTCTCTCCGCCCCAAAATTGTTCTCATATGACTGAATTAAAGAAGAAAATGATATCTTTTTTCGCTTGAGAAGTTTTTCTGAGTCCACAGAGAGTGATACATCTGCATAAGTAGCAGCGGCAATGTTCTTTCCTGCAAAAGGACTGATAGATAAAATAACAAAATGACATCAGTGAAGGGTCTGTTTGTTTTGTGCTCTACTCCTGCGTTACCTTCAAAATCAAAACCTCCTTTTTAAAGGGTGTAATCTGCATATTGTGCCTGCTGTATACAGGTGCTGCTGCACACGCACGATATTGCAACCACCACGAGTGAGCACGTCCTCAGCATTGACATCTTGGCTCACCGATCTCTGCCAGGGGAATTCCAGCAGCAAATTTATAAGCTCTGTTCTGCATGAAGTCCTCATATCCAATCGCAGACTTTGAGCTGAATTACACCAGGGAATTATCCCTAAAATAGATGCTTGGGAGACAAGACTCTAAGGCCTTTTTCTGTTCTCTTTCACTTGGTATTTGAACACTTTAAGTGGGGTTAATCTCACCAAACTTGGATGAGCTGGCATTGCTGATGTGCTTGAAGTAAACACTCAGAGCTTCCTTTATCACCAGTGGGTAGAAACAGGCATTTTAGAGGTGTGATTCATGCACAGCTGTAAAATGGGTCAGAGCTGCCTGTCTCTCTATTATGACCACAAAAGAAGCTCAGTTAATAACATCTTCAGCGTCAACATCCAATGTTAGATGAGATGAATCCCTGCTTTGATGGCTTTGGAAAATGCTACTTCCTTCAATACAATACTCAGCAGAGATTCTCAGGATACATCTGTGTGGAACCAGAGAAGGCCATTGTGATGCACGGGGCAGGTGAGAAAAAGGACATCTCCAGAAGTGATACCCAGGGCTCACAGTTGTGCTATAATAGTCAGATTTTGTATGGACAGTGGAGGAAACCTTAGAAGAGCCACGGAAAACTTGGCATTCAGAACCCAGAAAGGATGGATATTGCACAATGTCTTTGAGATGCAGATCAAAGTCAGTAAGTACTTCCCAACAAGGGACGCATATGAGCCATACCTCAACATTAAAACATCCCCCGCTCCTAAATCTTACTGAAATATCTAGATCTTAGTTTTGCAGCTGACTCTTTCAATATCTCGGGTCAAACCAATAACCTTGATCTAGATATACCTGAAGTTTAGATCTGGATTCAAACTTTGGAAGCTTTGCCTGTCTAGAAAATGTGTCTTTCCCTAAAACTTGTTGCACAAAAAAGGTCCCTTGAACAATCAAGAACTCTGACCACTCTTATAACACAGAGGTCATTTTTTTGGCAAATGGAAATGGCAAAATACAGAAAGGACAGAGAAGAGGAAAAACTGCATATCTTTAAAAAAAGAAACAGCTGACGAGCATTAGATCTGCAATGGCTTTTTGTGCTGCAGGTGAATTTCCTCTGGCTCTCCCCAACAATGAAACAGTAGAAAGAGGTGGGAGATGTCACAGAACAAAGGATCAATTTGCAGAGAGCTTTTTAGAGAAATGCACGTACAAACCCTCATCAGCAAACTCTGCAGACTCAGTTGACCATCCACGAACAAACACGTATACACATTGCGGAAGGCAAATAGCTTCCAGACATCTTTAAATGTACCCACAAGTAATACAAAGCAGACATGAACACTCCATACAGTGATATCTTTACATAGTGTCCTCACGGATACTATATATTCAGGAAGACATTGCTCATGTAGGTGATGCTATACCATATTCCAGAGAGTAGAAAGCAAGCCCTTTTAAAGTACTGGAAGAGAAGATGGAGATGGCAAGCTCCAGTGGAGGACTGGGCCAAGAGCAAACTGAAATGGCTAGATTAGTTTTCATCCCTTTTCTTGGGTTACTAAACTGTATAGTTTACAAAGCAGAGAAAGTCATTCACGGTTCTTTACAGTATAATTTCCATCATCATGTAGTAACTGTGGATTTACCACATTCTTTTGTGAGATTTCAACTGCCAGAACAAAGCTTTGTATTGCAGACAATCAGCACTCAAATATTTAGGAATAATAATAAAGGCATTCCTCCCTCCCCTCCCCTTCCCTTGGGGGACTGATCTGTCTTTTTACAACTGGGAGTTTCTTCAGTCCTATGAAAACCCCAAGGATTTTCATAATCGTTGTTATTTAATCTAAAGTAGCAAATGTTTGACTGATGTTCTGCTTAAAGAAGGGGAAAATCCCACTTCCTGCAGCATATTGCAGGGATCATCAAACATACCCCTTTGTCTGTTGGACCAAATACGTAATGATAGTACTGTGTGGGTGCTCCAGAGCTGACTCAGCTGTAACACAGTCACATTGCGCCTGCGATATGCAATCCATCATTACATTTAAAGCACCGCCTTGATTAATATTCAGTATCTCATGTCAACACTGATAAATGAGGATTCAAAGTGTTACACGGCAGGAACTGCAAGCATTGCTGCAGTGGTAATGGCCTGGGTTGGTTTCGTGGCATCTGTTACTTCAAGGGGAATTTTGCAATTCAGAAATACCCAAGTGCAGGTATGGAGGCAACTGCCAGTTGTGACCTCTTGGGATAAATGTCATCTGTCACTTTTAAAGAAACTAAACATTGCATTTCCAAATGACCTACTGCAATTTCTTCTCCTATGTGAACAGGATTTCTCTCCCTTGGCAGTTCAGCTTTGCCATTGAAATTCACATTAACTGTAACTGTGATGCTATAGATATACATGGTATACTGAAATTGGGAAGTACTTTGGCTTAGGCTGATTTAAACACCTACTTCCCAAGTGCATAGGTTTTGTCTTTACTTGCTCAAGAAAAGGAAAAATACCATGACATTTTTAGGTTTTGTTCCCTTTTCTCGCTTGAAATGCTTTTTGTTTTTCTTTGTTTTGTTCTGTTTTGTTTTGCTCTGGGCGATTTTATCAAAGTATTCTCTTTTTCCCCTACTGTTTACTTAATGGTAACTTTTTTTTCCACCTTTGCTTCAGTCTTAAATATGACAGATCAAGTAATTCCCGTTAGAGCTACAGTTTGATACTCAGAAACATTTAATGGCCAATAAACTCTTCCCTGGTGGAGAATGAGAATTCAAAGGAAATATCTGTGGTTGTTTTCACTTTCATTTTTTTTGTTAAAAAAAGTTTGCACCTTGATGTGTCATGAATACCCCTTCTTGATCTTCCTTTGCCTTGTCAGACCTGGCCAGCACAAGCAGCTGAGATCTTTGCTCTATTTTCCCTGCATCTCTGTGCAACACTTTTTTAAAAAGAGAAAATATTCTTATTTTTTCTGAGCCTTTCAGACCGCTGTCACGTGATCAGGATTCTCCTGAATCTCTATGCATTCGATCTCTTCTCGTTCCTTCCTTTTGGCTCGTTTCTTTTTTTTGTGGTGCTTTTTGGAAGGTGGGAAAAAGGTTAGAAAGACGGGCAAAATAACAAAACAGTGCAGAAGTGTGCAACTGCCGGCAAGCAGCAAGCATTTGAACAGTGTGAAGGTCAAGTTTGAAGGCACAAAGAGAAGGGGGACCAACCCAATAAGAAAAGAAGAAACGTTCTGCAAAATGGCTGTCCCGTGCTCTTGGAGGGAGTTCTTTATACATTGAGTTCGGGTGTGCTCAGTAGCTAGTACAAATGTATAAAGCAGGGGTGCACAGTGATCTATGGCAAAATTCAAGGTGTAGATAAGGCACAGTATAGAAATGCAATCCATGTCTACATTCCATAAGGTCATCAAGCCAAGGACGCCCAGCTCTATTGAGGTGACGCTGAGAATTAACCAGAAATTTCCCAGAGGATGGATAACCAGGAAAAAGGTCAGTATTAACACCAGCAGGATGCCAAAACCAGAAATCAGGACAGGCATAGTTACTGATAAACCATAGTGGTCCATGAAAACAAAGGTAGGGTTGAACACTATGAACTTGATGCTTTGTATAAGAGAGAGTGGTCTCAGTTTCTCCAGTAATTCCACTGCCTCCCTCTGTGTGTTTTCACTAGTCCTGGCCACCAGGTACAGACGAGAAGCTATTATGTTATTCTCATCTCCAGCTTTAGAGAATATGATGTCATTTTTGAAGTGCTGGAATTCTGGCTTTTTTAAAAAGGAGCTCTGGAGGATACTGATAAAGTCACTTTTGTTAGTTGCACTGATGTTGCCCACTCGAAGGAACTGGTAATACTGCTCGATCCAGGACACTGTGTTGAACCCTTGGCTCAGTGTTTTTAGGTCTTCTTGCACAGTGCCATTCCAGTACTCCAGAGGTTCGTAAATATAGAATCCTATCACCGGGCTGTAATTGCTGAAGTACTTTTGCTGAATGAGGGCATAGGAGACGCTTGGAGACTCACTGGCAAGAAGGTTAATAATGTTGGCTCCATCATTGATCTGTAAGCACCCCATAAAGGAGAAAGAGGCATAGATGAGATACAGTATCACCACAAAAGGCTTGACGTAGATGTTGGTAATCCACTCATTGTAATGCTCTCGGAGGAAATGCTGGATAAAGTGATGCTGGTATGGGTTGGTCTCATGATGAGAAGAATGTTGATGACCATCATTCATCATGGTCTGGAACCACACAGGCTTTCGGTCCAGGTATTCTGCTGAAGGGATTTTACAGCAGAAGATACTGTGATAACGATTCTGCTCCAACTGGCCAGCAAAGACCAGGCAGGAGCCAAAGAATGAGAAGATATAGAAGTAGTTCAACAGGATGGAGACACACATGTTCTGGCAGAAGACTTTTACAGCTTCAATGTTAGTGAAAGGGCTTGCGCCCATGCCAAAGGCTATGAAATACAAGGAGCTTGTCATTGTATAGGACACCATGACATCTGAGTAGGCATCTGCTACTCTGTCCTTGAATGGAAGATTCTCTCTTGTTCGACGCCATCCTGAAAGAAGTTCAAATACTCCTTTGGTTCCGTGACCTGAAATGAGAAAACAAAGCATATACATGTGCATAGATAAAAGAGGACCCACATTTTCATCCTCCAGAAGTAAAAAAATGTTGTCAGCTAAGTTACAGTCATAAGTTTAGTTATGATTTTATCACCTGTTATGCAAATTAGAAATTGTGATGTGTCTGTGTAAGGCTGGATACCAGAAATCATATGCAGATACTTAAACAAAGGCCCCATGCTTATCATCCCTGCAGTGAAATTATGAAATATAATTTGAAAGACACTCACTGATCTTCATGAACAGTTCTGAAATGAATAGCCTGTATAGGATGAAGGTAAACATTATGTTCAGAATCAGAATGGCTTGGGTGGGAAGGGACTGCAAGGATCTTCAGATTCCAGCCCCCCGCTGCAGGCAGGGTTGCCAAATTCTAGATCAAGCACCAGATCAGGTTTCCCAGGTCCCCATTCATCCTGGCCATGAACGCCTCCAGGGATGGAGCATCCACAGTCCCTCTGAGCAACTGGTTCCAGCACATCACCACCCTCTCAGTAGAAAATTTCCCTCAGACATTTAATCTCGATCTTCCTTCCTTCAGTTTAAAACCTTTATTTCCTCTTGTCCTATCACTATCTATCTGTGTAAAAAGTTGTTTAAGTTGTGTTTCCTCTTGTTTTTAGGCTCTTTTAATATTGGAAGGCTACAATGAGGTCTTACTAGAGCCTACTCAACTCCAGACTGAACAAGACCACCTCCCTCAGCCTGTCTTCATAGAAGAGGTGCTCCAGCCCACTGAGCATCTTTGTGGCCCTCATCTGGATGCTCTCCAAAAGCCCCACATCTTTCCTGTGTTTGGGGCTCCAGACCTGGACACAGTGCTGCAGATGGGGCCTCATGAGGGCAGAGCAGAGAGGGATGATCACCTCCCTGTCCCTGCTGGCCACCCCTCTGCTGATGGAGCCCAGTATACCGTTGGTTTTCCAGGCTGCAAACACACACTGCTGGCTCATGTTCAGTTCTTCATCTACCACGACCCCTAAATCCTTCTCAGCAGGGCTGCCCTCAAGCAGCTCTTTTCCCAGTCTGTATATATTCTTGGAATTACCCCTATCCAAGTGCAAAACCTTGCTTTGTTGAACCTCATGATATTCACAAGAGCCCACCTTTTGAATTTATCAAGATCCCTCTGGATGGCATCCCCTCCTTCTGCTATATCAACTGCATTGCTCAGCTTGGTGTCATCAGCATTGATAAAGGTGATAAAGAGTATTGGTGCCAAACGAACCCCTGGGGGTCACCACTCGTGACTGACCACCACCTGGACATAGAGCCATTGACCACAACCTTCTGGCTGCAACTTTCCAACCAGTTCCTTATCCATTGATTAGTCCATCCTTCAAATCCGTATCTCTCCAATTTAGAGATAAGGATGTGGGGGACCATGTCAAAGGCCTTGCAGAAATCTGAGTAGATGACATCAGGTGCCTTCCCTCTGTCCATCAATGTCATCACTTCATCACAGAAGGCCACCAGTTTGGTCAGACACGACCTATCCTTGGTGAGGCAGTGCTGGCAGCCTGTGATCACCCGCTCATCCCTCATGTGCCTTAACATGTCTTTCAGGAGATCTGTTCCATGATCTTCCCAGGCACAGAGGTGAGGCTCACAAGCCTGTGGTTTCCTGGATCCTCCTTCCTCTCTTTCTTATGAACGGATTCTTCCTCAAAATTCTTTGAGACATCCTACTATATTTTTCAGAGTTTAAGAAATTCATTTTGAAACACTTACTAATGCAAATATCAACATTTAATTCTAGAAATGCTGTAACTTGTGAAAACAATTGTGAAAAAAATAGGTGTGACCAAGAAAGAGACATGTTGATTACTAATGCTCAACAAGGGAAAATGTATTCTGCCATTAAGTACAAATAACCAGGATGATTTGTAGGATGGTTCTCTTCCTGCCTGAAATTCTCATGCAAGCAACCATGCTGTAGAAAGGTTGACATGTTGGTAATGATATTGAGTAGAGGATTTACCAGATTGTTGGTTCACATTAATGGTCTGGAATTTGATCTGTAGAACTAAAGTTTGGGGTTTTCTTTTGATGATTATGTCTCCCCTTCTGTCCCTTCTCCTCTCTCATCAGCTCCTGGTAAGAAGGAATTCTCTTAGCTCACTTGAGTGGGCATTCAAGAAACAGCCTGAGCCAAACAGTGCTCCAAAGGTTCTTATTTTGTGTTGAGTTCTGAGAACTATTTTTAGAAGTACAGCTTTTTACTAGAAATGGAGGCTAAATATGCACTTACTGTCATCTGACTCATAGCCACAGTCCAGGAATTCGATAGCAATTAAATTTAAGGGCAGAATGGTAAATTTGAAAGTAAGCTTAAAGGAAAATGTTTAACTTCTTAAAAATGTTCATTATGTACATATACAAATTCATATATGGCATATGTGGATACATACAGATTATAAAATACACACACTATATACATATTCCTCTGTTACACGTGTGTATAAAGCATATTATGCTTACATATAGTATACATATATTATATCTGTACTAAGCACAGTAAAACAAGAGGGAAAAAAATAACATCTGCAGCTAAAAGGGTTTGGCTTTCAAACAATTATTTTGTTCCAAAATTTAAAACAAGTATTTAAATTTGAGGTTCTCTGTGCTCTGGGTCAAGCCCTGACAAAATTCTGGACTAGATAAGGAAACACATTATTGAGTAGAGAAAGAAGTAGAAGATCACAAGTGTTTCTGTCCCTGTTTTTGTCTCTCCACTCTCTGAGGTAGCACTGCATGCAACAAAGCAGGAGGTAATTTTCTTGTAATAAACCAGAAATTATGACAAGGATATTTGTAAATAATGAAGTGCATAATAGTGAACAAAAAGTCTGTTGAGTTTGTCTTCTGATTTAAATGGTCTGGATTCATGCAGCTGCCCAAAACAGACTCCTGACTGCCATTCTAGACAAGGGAAATTACAGCATAAACTGTCAAGTTCTGAGAATGTTACCTGTTTTACTGCAGATCAGTGTCCCCAGTGAAAGATAAACATACAGCAGTACAGAAATGTTGCAGTTAGCAAAATGCCTATGCAGAAATACTGCTCTCTTGTGAACTGGCATCCTGGTTCAGGAGGGATTTTGGATTCCCTGGTGAGTTAGGCATGAGTCAGTTCAGAGTCTCAAAGCACAGCTGCCTTGCACACTGTCACATTTGGACTGTCAAGCAGAAAGAATGGCCTCCTTGGGCTGAGCGGAGCTGCAGAATTCAACAGCTCAGCCGTGATTTTATATTATGCTTAAAGCAAGAGTGGATATGCTGTGGGATGTGGACCAGGCTGACTGGGCACCATGACCAGTGCCCACACCCTGACACGGATTAACTGAATGGTGTATTCTGTTTTGGGTACAGCAGAGCACAGAAGTCTTCCTCAGATGTCCGCATTCACCCCATCTCTATCTCATGATCAGTTTTGAATGGTCCTTTTTCAAACATTTCTGATTAAAAGCCCTGAAATGTAGGATGTGACGTCATACAGATCCCAAGTGGCCATAACCAGGTTCTTGCCTCTTCTCTTCCAGTTTTAGGGACCACACTTTTCTCTCTCTCTCTCTTTTCCTTCTCTCATGAGGGAAGCTGAGCACTAGATTTCTGTTTCTGCTGCTGCTATTATTCCTCCCACCTTCCTGTCTCACCCACTGGGACAGAAGAATCACATTCAGTAGTGAAGTTTTTTTCTACCTCGGTTCCCCTTCTTGTCCTTACTCTCCCAGGCAGCTGGCTGGGATCTCAGACAAAGGGAAATCATGAAACTACAGAGCTCACACTGGGAACCTTCGTGGAGTGTCTAAATTAGATATCGACAATGTCTTTCCTCTCTAAATGCTCTCTTCTTTCTTTAAAATGACAATAGCCACTCTGTGTCAAGCCGAGCATTGTTCTACCTCTGGATCTGACAAAAAGGACAGATATTTAAAGAAAAAGATGATGGAACAGGGAATGTGTAGAATAATTATTTCCCAATTCAGAGTCCTAAACATTGGTGTTTAGCCAAGAGGCCTGCTAAAACCACAGGCTGTATTTGCAACGTCATGTTTGGAGGCTCTGAAGGACTTTCATCCATTTTTCAAGTCCAGTTTTAAATTCCATCATACTTCTGACCACCAAAATCTCCTGCTACGAGAAGCTTCATAACTTCATTACTTGCAGAATAAAAGATAGACTTGCTTTTCTTCGGTTCCAACACTCAGCCAGTAAAATTTCATGGCTGAAGTCAGCAAAATGTAAGCCTGTTGTTTCCTGAGCAGTGACTCATGACTGGCCATCTGATGCATGCGCCCTCTGTTCCCGCTCATACGTGGATGTTCCCTGCATCCATCCCACTTCTGACATCTCTCTTTGACCACATGTACACACATACCTTTGTGCTCGCTGGCTGGCTGTCCAAGATGCATGTGCTAATTTGCCAGCACAGTACCAAATAGTTGAGTTTTATCGTCCACTCTGTGAGAGGAGAAACTGGGATTTTTTCTTCCTTCTAGAAATCAATTTGCTCAAACCTTCTAGGAGCTCAATCAAACCATTGTCTGTGAGATTTTCATCCTTCTACCACAGGCCTCTCCGTGGGCCTGCTGCTTGAGGGTACTCAGAGATAATAACTGCAGGAGCCTTCTGCTGCCCATCAGAGCTAAAAGTGATCGGTGAAGTCAAAGAAAGAAAAAGACCCAAACCGTTGGCAATGCTAAAATGGATGTTGCAGATCGTTCTGAAACCTTTAACTGGAAATTTATCAGAAGCCCTTTCGCAGAAATAGTTGAAGTTATGGTGAACTGGTATTTTTCAGTGAAGCTGTAGATGAAGGAATGTTCCAACACCTCTTTCAAAAATTTGTGATAAACTCTTCTTCCCATCTACAAGATTATGTCCACAGTTGCACCTTTGCCATATTTTTGTAGTGATTAACTTCTAAATATCAGTCTATCAGGTTAGGATCCTATTTGCCTTCTTG